ATTCCTGCTAATTCTTTCTCAAGCCTCTTCACAGCCACAATAATTTTGTAATTTGATAGGATCCCTTTGTAAACTGTACCAGAAGCTCCTCTACCAAGCTCTTCTTCGAATTCATTTGTGGCTTGCACAAGTTCCGCATAAGTAAATGCACGTAAACCAACATCATCAATCATTTCAACATTTTTATCGTTGGAAATCATATAGGTCCCGACATGCTTTCGGTGGACATAAACCCAAGAAATTGCCAAGATCAATGCAGCCAAAGCAACAAGGGAAATGCCGATGATAAAGATGTCTAGATGACGTTCTTTCTTGATTTCATTATCTGAATTATTTGGAACTCCCTGTGTGAAGGATGACCGTGTGCTCACCTTGACAAGAGCAACGTTTGAATCACCCTGCAATCTTCTTCCGTATCTCAATGGAAGCTTTTGCTTTCTGCAGATTCCATCTTTAAAGAGAGCTGCAGCACAGTTGCAGTCCTCTAAACAAGCATTTTCACAATCTTCTTTAGTTTTCATATCTTTTATAATATCATAATTAGTGTCTTCCCACAGTGTGTTTTCCAGTGATCTCATTCTATAACTGGCATTTTGTTCCTTGTCTTTACAACTTTCCATGGAAAAATTCCTCTCACATCCCAAGCTCCAATTGCCTGGAATAACAAGTGAAAATCCTGGAAGACATTCACACCGTGTATCCCCATCCGCCATACTACAGAAACTATTTACCGGGCACACACCCTTAGGGACACATTTATCTTCCGTGGATGACCATTCTTTAGTCCAGTTGCCTTGACGATCCAATGAGCGACTATATAGTCGAAAAATACCATCCACATCAATTCTCACGAGGTAGATAGTTCTTGTTCGATATTGTCCTGGAGTTAAATTGCTTACAATGGAGCTTCCATCGGACAAATAAAAATGGCCATTATTATCAAGATTTAGTGATACGTTATTGCCTTTTCCCCACGTGCCTGATACATAGTAAGCATAACTGGGTTCGGAAATTTCCACAGGGTATTGCACCAGGTTCCCATCAGTTTGCATCACGAGACGGAAAATACCTCTGGCAGGGTTCGTTTTTGAAGCACTGGAGACGAGATCTTCTCCAGCCGGGAGACGTTGGCCGGGCAAAAGAGTGTCCGTCGGGTAATCAAAACTCTGCCATGTCATACTACGAGAGGAGTCATAAAGCACGAAATTTCCATTGTCAAGCATTGAAGCTGAAACGACTGGCCTGTCAGAACTTGCAATATTTATGTCATCTCTATCTTCCTGCTGCAGAATGAGTCTTCCATCATCGGTTAATAGCAAATTGGCAGTTCTGGGAAAAACGGGATCATCCCTGTTGGCTGTCCACACTACAGTCTTTTCTGGAATCCCATCAATAAAAACTCCAACAGCATAGCCATTGGTTAGCTCGTAGAATCCAAAGGCATAGAGTCCAGAAGGCGACAACCATGATGAATTCGTACTGGGTTTTAAAGAAGAACCAAGGGAAATATTAGCATATCTTTGTTTCTGGGCTGATGCTGCCATTAGTTTAGAAAGAAAGAGAAAACAGGGAAAAACAGCCATGAAAAATAGGTTTTCCATTTTTCTTGGGATATGGCTTCTTTGTTTCATTGGGGAAGGAAATAGGTGTTATTTGAAGAACTCAGTACCCTCTCTGTATCGACTCATTTAAGTCAATGCTTAAGGTCTGTTTGTTTGAACAACATGTACAATTTACTTATGGAAAGACGTGTTGCTAAAGTTCTAATATGAACAAATTGACTTGACTTTCACATTCCAGATGTCCAAACAGAACATTATTGCTATGGGTACTTTTTCTTGACTAAGTCAGCTTGAAGGGTATAAAATTCACTCCTGTCTAATCAAGATTTAGAGCTTGTTTGGTAGAGATTTTTGAGGGAAGAATTGATTTTTGAATAATGATATGATGGGAATTGTGTGGTTAAAAAAGAAGAAAAAATTATTGATGTGATAGAAAATATTATTTTATTGAATAATGTGTGATTGAAAATGAGAATTGATTTGAGAATCAATTTTCAAATAAAAAACAAATACCCTTAGTATTTGGTTCAGTTGTAGAGCAATGAATCAGACGAGATGATGAAAAGAATTTATTTAAATAATTCAAAATTAATGAGAAAAATATTTATTAAAAAATAATTAATTAAAGGGAAATAAAAAAATGAGAAAAATAAGAGAATTTCTAATAATTTTCCAAGTAAAAATTATGAAGAGGGACTTAAGTTTGTAAGGAAATTCTCATATTAAGAACAAACAAATCCTAGTACATTTAATTTTCAAATTATCCAAATAGAACCATACTTTATTATGGTTAGGATCTCTTGACCAAGTCAACTTAAAGGTATTAGAAAATTTACTCCTTTCAAATGAAGCTTGAAATAAAATTAGTATAATGGAATAATTGGCTTACAAATTTTAAGCTATGTTTGGTGTAAACTAAAATTTAATTAAAATTACAAGTCAAAGTCAAAATTAATTTGGAACACACATTACACATAATTCATAATTTTTCAATTACATATTTATCAATTCGTATAAAAATCTGCTAAAAATCTAATTTTAATTTGCATCAAATCTGAACTTAATCAAGTCTAATCAAGATCAAAGTGTAGTCTTTGCACTACCAAAGGTATTGATTAAAAATGTTAATCCCAATTACAAGAAATTTACTCGTGTCTAATCAAGATTAGGAAACAGATTAATTTAAGATTATTAATATCATTTGCAAAGTGATTTGGAACCCACCAAGTCAATGTATCAATCTTGGTTCTTTTTTTTTTTTTTTGCCCCCTTAAATTGGTATTGAATTTTCCATGTAACTATAGGTTATGGGTCTCGTTATGTAGAATACACAATTCAATTTCACGCAAGTAGATCTAGAAAGATTCAAATTTTCATAAGTCTTTCATTTCTCGCCATTGTGTTTAACTATTTTTCGATGTTAAACATTACTTTCGAGGACTAGTTCTAGGTCTAATTAACGATTTCTTTAGAGGAAAATCGTTATAGGAAGGTGTAAATAGTTACAATTTGTTTAGTGAATCATGATATGCATGAGCTATATATACTTACGATAATTCTTTAAATAGTATATGAAGTATAAATTGTCGAGAAAGCAAAATTCTCTTCCATAAAAAAAAAAAAAAAAGAAGCATAATAATATTTGGCTTGTCACCAATCAATCAAAACTAGGAGAGTTTGAATCACGTGAGTGAAGAAACTCACAACTTTATTAGCACAATTTTTTACAAGTGAAAAATGATTCTTTTAGAGAATGCGTGATTGAAATAATTTTTTCTAAAAATCTTGTGGCAAACAAGACTTCAATTGGTTTTCATCTAAAAAAAAAAAGCACCCCATGAAAAAAAATGGGATCAAAGAGGTGCTCAGCTTAGTTCATGAAGTTCAACTGGTTACTTTTCCGACTCGAAATGGATTTAGGATGCATCATTTTCTTTAAATATCATATAAAATATCAATCATTGATTAGTAACTTTTGTACGCTTAAAACTCTTGGCAGGTTGTCAATTTCAATTTTGATCATTTAAAAATGAGTATTTTGGAATTTTTTTGCTGACAATGGACGCAATTGAACAAGAACCAAAATTATAAGAAAGAAAAGAGAAAAAATAAGATAATATAAGCGGGAGAAAGTATTGTTTATTCTATCCGTCAAAGTTGTCTTATACTATAAAAACCATTAGTTATACTGATAAGAATAATGTTACCGTTAGGCAGGTGGGGGCCGCTAAGGATGCGGTTCATCCTCTAAGAATAATGTTACCGTTACATAATAGAGTTACTTAATGAAAATTAATACCACATTTTTTAATCTTATTTTTTAAAACTTATCTTCCTTCAAATTTGTTTCCAATAACAAGTTTTATGTGATCTGCAACTTTTATCGACACATTTTATAATGTTTTATAAAAATTTACTTAAAAACTAATTTTTTTTCTAAACCCAATGGGGGCTTAGTCTCCATTTTGCAGATTTTATATAAAACACTTATAAATTGACAAACTTCATTTCAACCACACATACCAATATAATCATAATTACTATTAATATTCAGAAGTTCATCACTCATTTTTATCTATTGATAAATTAAAATCATTTACAAATTCTTCCCGAATATAGGCTTAGCAATTTAATTATAAGGACAATCCATTAATTAATTGCAAAACAACTCATATTTAAATCTATAGCAAGTGCTTCATGAATTTAATTTCTTATAATAATGTCCCAGGAACTCTATTTTTCTCGATAGATAGAACTTGGCCCTCATAGCAACAAAATAATTTTTTGATTGCAACATCAATAGCTTGAATGTGCCATGATAAGGAAACAAATACGCTATTTTTTGAAAACAAGAAATCCATTCAAGTGCACCGTGTCTCAATGCAAAACACAGTAATCCCCCATTGAAGCACCAATTTTGTGTTGTCAATCAAATTCGGACGATAGAATGATACAGTTGTAAAAAGTTGGAGTCAATTGGTGAGCTCGAATGAAATTTAAGGTTACAAAAGAGAAGGTTCTCTCAATGAGAAAGGCAAATAGGCTCAAGTCAAATTTCGTGTTTGGTCGTAATCAATCACCAAGAGGTTTCACTTATACAATTAATCAGATGTCTATCGCTTAATTCGTGTAAAATGAACTATTTTATAACACGAGTCTTAATTTTCCTTTCAATGTTTTGGGCAGCAAAACGTCAAGATTTTGACGATTGAGAGTGCAATTGATGTATCAACCGAGGATGGTGAAGATAATGCTGCACTTCTTAAATAAGCTCAAGTCATCCACGAATTTGGAAACGTTTACGTAAATTTGTGATTCCATTTAGCTATTGGTTTCCTCTAAATGATGAATATTATTATAATTTTCTACGATAGTCTAGACAATTAATTATCATCCTTTCAAAATATTGAGACACTTTGAAAATGGTCAATCTGTATGTTAGACCTGGTTATTGATAATCCAGTTGCCTTGACGATCCAATGAGCGACTATATAGTCGAAAAATACCATCCACATCAATTCTCACGAGGTAGATAGTTCTTGTTCGATATTGTCCTGGAGTTAAATTGCTTACAATGGAGCTTCCATCGGACAAATAAAAATGGCCATTATTATCAAGATTTAGTGATACGTTATTGCCTTTTCCCCACGTGCCTGATACATAGTAAGCATAACTGGGTTCGGAAATTTCCACAGGGTATTGCACCAGGTTCCCATCAGTTTGCATCACGAGACGGAAAATACCTCTGGCAGGGTTCGTTTTTGAAGCACTGGAGACGAGATCTTCTCCAGCCGGGAGACGTTGGCCGGGCAAAAGAGTGTCCGTCGGGTAATCAAAACTCTGCCATGTAATCCTACGAGAGGAGTCATACATCACGAAATTTCCATTGTCAAGCATTGAAGCTGAAACGACTGGCCTGTCAGAACTTGCAATATTTATGTTATCTCTATCTTCCTGCTGCAGAATGAGTCTTCCATCATCGGTTAATAGCAAATTGGCATTTCTGGGAAAAACAGGATCATCCCTGTTGGCTGTCCACACTACAGTCTTTTCTGGGATCCCAGCAATAAAAACTCCAACAGCATAGCCATTGGTTAGCTCGTAGAATCCAAAGGCATAGAGTCCTGAAGGCGACAACCATGATGAATTCGTACTGGGTCTTAAAGAAGAACCAAGGGAAATATTAGCATATCTTTGTTTCTGGGCTGATGCTGCCATTAATGTAGAAAGAAAGAGAAAACAGGGAAAAATAGCCATGAAAAATAGGTTTTCCATTTTTCTTGGGATATGGCTTCTTTGTTTCATTGAGGAAGGAAATAGGCGTTATTTGAAGAACTCAGTACCCTCTCTGTATCGACTCATTTCAGTCAATGCTTAAGGTCTGTTTGTTTGAACAACATGTACCATTTATGATTTACTTATGGAAAGACGTGTTGTTAAAGTTCTAATACGAACAAACCCAATTGCACAAATGGCCCAACATGCCAAGTAATAATGAGGCAGGCCAAATACATTAACAGTTCTAATACGCACAAATTGACTTGACTTTCACATTCCAGTTGCCCAAACAGAACATTATTGGTATGGGAGCCTTTTCTTGACTAAGTCAGCTTGAAGGGTATAAAATTCACTCCTGTCTAATCAAGATTTAGTATTTGGTTCAGTTATAGAGCAATGAATCAGATGAGATGATGAAAAAAATTTATTTAAATAATTCAAAATTAATAAGAAAAATATTTATTAAAAAATAATTAATTAAAGGGAAATAAAAAAAATGAGAAAAATAAGAGAATTTGTCATAATTTTCCAAGGAAAAATTATGAAGAGGGACTTAAGTTTGTAAGGAAATTCTCATATTAAAAACAAACAAATCCTAGTACATTTAATTTTCAAATTATCCAAATAGAACCATACTTTATTATGGTTAGGATCTCTTGACCAAGTCAACTTAAAGTTATTAGAAAATTTACTCCTTTCAAATCAAGCTTGACATTATATTAGTATAATGAAATAATTGGCTTACAAAATTTAGGCCATGTTTGGTGTAAACTAAAATTTAATTAAAATTACAAGTCAAAGTCAAAATTAATTTTGAACACATATTACACATAATTCATAACTTTTCAATCACATATTTATCAATTCGTATAAAAATCTGCTAAAAATCTAATTTTAATCTACATCAAATCTAATCAAGATCAGAGTGTAGTCTTTGCAGTACCAAAGGTATTAATTAACCCAATTACAAGAATTTAAGATTATTAATATCATTTGCAAAGTGATTTGGAACCCACCAAGTGAATGTATCAATCTTGGTTTTTTTTTTTTTTGCCCCCTTAGATTGGTATTGAATTTTCAATCTTGTTGTAAGGTATGGTCCATGTAACTTTAGGTTATGGGTCTCGTTATGTAGAATACACAATTCAATTTCACGCAAGTAGCTGTATCTAGAAATATTCAAATTTTCATAAGTCTTTCATTTCTCGCCATTGTGTTTAACTATTTTTCAATGTTAAACATTACTTTCTAAGACTAGTTCTAGGTCTAATTAACGATTTCTTTAGAGGAAAATCGTTATAGGACGGTGTAAATAGTTACAATTTGTTTACTGAGTCATGATATGCATGAGCTATATATACTTACGATAATTCTTTAAATAGTATATGAAGTATAAATTGTCGAGAAAGCAAAATTCTCTTCCAAAAAAAAAAAAGCATAATATTTGGCTTGTTACAATCACGTGAGTGAAGAAACTCACAACTTTATTAGCACAATTTTTTACAAGTGAAAAATGATTCTTTTAGAGAATGCGTGATTGAAATAATTTTTTTTTAAAATCTTGTGGCAAACAAGACTTCAATTGGTTTTCATCTAAAAAAAAAAAAAGCACCCCATGAAAAAAAAAAAGAAACAAAGAGGTGA